GGGATACTGAGTATGGGTATCACAAGGTGTCACAAGAGCCCCGCCGGCACACAAACAAGTGGGTCAGCAAGCGAAGACGGCACTCAGTGTATTCCCTGGATACCATCCCACGAAGTGCAGACCCAGTCACCGTATGCGGCGGGGCACCATTGAGACGCCTTCAAGCGGTGCGTATTGGTGACTGCGGCATGATCGTCGATAGCCGGTATCCCGTGACATGCAAAGATGGACGCGATCGTTGTACGGGTATGGGCCAGTCACGCTCGAGAACATCTTGTCAGCAGTTCGTCTCAAGGCGACAGTGCGCTATAAGCCTTAGCGCTGAGCAGTTTGGGGAGGCCTTCGGCCCACCGCGATGCCTACTTCCTAATCAAGACATGTCAGTCAGACCGCGTCGCCACACAAGCAAGTTTCCGTCAAGAGACATGCACGCATCCTTGAGAAGGCATCCATCGCTATCCACGTAAAACACCATCGGCCCTTCGAAAGCTGCTGTATCTGCATGGGGGAAGAAGAGCCGGCCAGGTCTAGTGGAGGTATTAGTATACCCTTCTAGCGCGAAGTGAGTGATAAGCGTGCCGAACGTTCGCGTTATCGTGCGCGCCACTTCGCAGGTGGGGTTTATTGACCGACTCGAATGGGAGTCGATCTGCCTCCGCGGGAAAGTGGCGTTACTGTTGCGGCGAGTAGATGTGTGCTTGTACTATTGTGCGCTTTGAAGCCGCAAACATAAGCGGTGCGTGTACGCAGTGAGTGGTATGCGAAGGGCTTCGACTTCTATGCATGGCGGCGAATGATCAGCTCGGGTTGTTGCGGCGAGTAGACGTGTATTTGTAACTTACGATGGCGTATCGCAGGGATGAGTATGAGCGATGTCTTGCCCGTTTGAACGGCATGAGTGGTTCTCCGGTAGATGGGAAGCTGAGCAGCAGATAGATCGACGAAACCTGATGCTGCAAGTAGATATCGGCGTACGCGGTAGATGTGTAAGCCCTGTGAGCGTTGTCAATACTGCACGTGCTACGCAGTTGAAGTGGCAGTTATCTAAGTAACATTCTTACTCAGTATACTCACGTCGGGCAGGGCACATAGTTGGTAACAACCTACTTTCTGTCAGCCCGTGTCGCATCAGGATCTGCAGACAACCAGTTGTCCTGACAGCGCGCGGGTGAGCGTCTAGATATTGGCGGGCCGGCCGCGGCCGTCATGTGCGGCATAGGAGGCACAGAAGCATTGGGTGGAGGCACGGAAGAGAAACGTTCGGGGGTGCTGTGCGGACGTCCTTGGCCGCTTCGACGCACCGGGAGGAGGAGCACCGGGTTCGGGTAGGCGCGGGTGCGGGGGAACGCGGTGAACTTTGTAGCTCGGGTGCATCGCCACAAATATTGCACAAAGACTCTCGAGTCAGAAGAGGTAACTTAGAAGGGCTCCAACTTCAGTCGGCTCAGATGTATTGATGGTGAGTAGAGGCATAGATCAGTATAGGCGCTGGAGGGAGCCCGAGTACACCGGTGCGCGCTGTGGAATGATACGCGGTCCAAAGTGGAAGCGCAAGATGGAAGGCTTTGATCACACAGTGGCTCTCCAATGCAGTATAGGGCCGTGTACAGCCCGGGACACAATAGTGCGGAATCGTACGACTACGCGAGAGGAAAGAAAGCGATGCAGTGTTTGCGAGCCGCGTGGGTGTGCGGAGGAGGCGGTGGTTGAGGTCAAAGGTCCAAAGGCGCGGGCTCGGTCGATGGGGGACCGATAAGCCCGCCTCTACTCGCGCGCGTCTTTCCTCTGCACATCCACGTCCACCGCCGGCACCATGGTTGGTAATTCCCCTTATATTGTACTTTATGTACTGAATAGCACCAGGCGCAGGAGCTCGATGGGAAGATCGCGGATGTGTACAAGCGGATCCAGACGGAGCGCAAGATGCTCGAGGCGTCGCGGATGTTGCAGCGTGCGACGAACAACGCGGACGTGCTGAGGAAGAACGACGCCAAGATTCGCGAGGCCGAAAAGTCGCTGCAATATTTCGAGGACACGCTGCGGGAGCTGCAGCAGCGCAAGGCGTCGCTGGGCAACGCTGGCTCGCCGCCGCCGACGCCGCCGGCGGACGCGGCCCGGCAGTCGCCCGAGTCGCCGCACGCGCCGCTCCCGCCCGCGCGGACATACGGGAAGCTCGATCTCGTTAAAGCCGACACGCCGCTCACGCCGGCCAAGATCGCGCGGATGCTGCACCAGCTCGAGTTCAAGCTCCAGGTCGAGATGCAGTACAGGCGCGGGATCGACAAGATGGCCAAGCTCTACCAGGCCGACGGCGACAAGAAGTCACGCGCAGACGCAGAGTCCAAGCGCGTCGAGAGCGAGAAGAAGATTCAGATATTGAACACGGCCCTCAAGCGGTACAAGAACTTGCATGTCATCGAGGCAGAGGCCGACGACGACGATCAGGTAGAGGGTAAGTGTCTATCATAGTATATAATATGATATACTAATCGCATCCCAGATCCCGCGGACGGCGACGCCAAGTCGAACCTGCGCTCCAAGCCGCTGTCGGGCAAACTGCAAATAACGATCAAAGCCGCCCGCGAACTCGACCACGCGCCCGTGCTATCCGGCAGACGCTCCGCCCGCGTCGTCCCCGACACCTTCGTCGCGCTCAAAGTAGAAGGCACCCAGCGCGCGCGCACGCACCCCAGTCGCACGGATCGGTGGCAGGAAGACTTTGAGATCGTCGTCGACAAGGCGAACGAAGTCGAAGTGGCCGTGTTCGACAAGGCGCCTAGCGATGCACACCCGGTCCCCGTTGGATATCTGTGGATCAAGATTCCCGATCTCGTCGATGCTCTCCGTCGCCAGCGTGTTGGGCAGCAGGCGGCTGGCCAGGGCGGATGGGCCACCGCCGGCGACATGCACGACTCGCCCAGTCTAACCAACTTCGCTCAGGGTCACAGTGCAAGCCAGAGCGGGGACTATGCCGTCGGCGGTATGCTCCCTCCGGGTGGCGTCAGCGCGCTCGGCGGTGGGCCACAGGAGGGCGTCGATGCCTGGTTCAGTGTCGAGCCCGTCGGTGCCCTTGCTTTGCATCTCAACTTCAGTACGTCATCCATCTCTCACTCACTACAGCTACCGACGCTAACATCTCGCAGTCAAGGAGAACGTTCGCAAGCGTCCCCTCGACGCTCCCGGCGGTCTCGCCCGTGCACAGGCCGTCCGCAAACGGAAAGAAGAGGTGCACGAACAAAACGGCCACGCCTTCGTCGCCAAGCAGTTCTACCAGCTCGTCCTCTGCGCCTTCTGTTCCGAGTTCTTGCTCAACGCCACGGGTTACCAGTGCGAGGACTGTCGCTATACCTGCCACAAGAAGTGCTACGACAAGGTCGTCACGAAGTGTATATCCAAGTCCGGCGCGGTGGGCGACGAAGACGACGAGGCGAAGATCAACCATCGCATTCCGCACAGGTTCGAGCCTATGACGAACATCGGCACGAACTGGTGTTGCCATTGCGGTTACATGCTCCCCCTCGGCCGCAAGAACGCACGACGCTGTACGGAGTGCGACGTCACGTGCCACGCCACCTGCGCGCATCTCGTACCGGACTTCTGCGGCATGAGCATGGAGACGGCCAACATTCTCCTGCGCGACTGGCGCGACATCAAAGCGCGTCAGGCTTCGCAGTCGCAGCGGCGGACGATCCAGCCTCCCGCGCGTGGACCCTCGTTGCCACCTATCGAGCAGGGCATCTCGGACGATATGAACCGCATGAGGATCGATCAGCCGCCTGTCCCGCCTCCGCACCAGCACCAGCACTCGCAGTACCAGGGCTTCGAGCAGCGCAGGCCGGTGCAGCAGCAGCCGCTACCTGGTGGCTTCCCCACTGTGCCGCCTGGTGCACGGCCGCCTGTGCAGCCGGGCTTCCCGGGCGCTCAGCCGTATGATCCCAGGGCTCAGGCTCCACCTACGCATCCAAGTCAGCAGCAGGGCCAGCGCCCGCCGCCACCACCTGCGAAGGGACCTAGCATCCCCTCCTCGCCCGCCGCAGGGTTCCCCTCGCCCTCGCCCTCCCAACAACAGCTTCCGCCTCCATCTCAGGGTCAGGCTGCGATGCCGCCACCGCCCACGCACCCCGCCGCGCCCGCGCTTCAGCAGCAGCAGCAGCAGATCGCGGCTGCGCGGAAGAAGCCGGCGCGGAAGGTCGGGCTGGACGACTTCAACTTCCTCGCTGTGCTGGGCAAGGGTAATTTCGGCAAGGTGATGTTGGCGGAGGAGAAGAGCAGTGCGAATTTGTATGCGATTAAGGTGCTTAAGAAGGAGTTTATCATTGATAATGATGAGGTCGAGTCGTACGTCCTCTTGTTTTATTAAGGCAGGAGATGTGTGCTGATCGAGGGAATGGGTAGGACACGGAGCGAAAAACGCGTGTTCCTCGCCGCGGCGCGCGAACGACACCCCTTCCTCCTCGGCCTGCACTCCTGCTTCCAAACCGAGACCCGCGTCTACTTCGTCATGGAGTACGTCTCCGGCGGCGACCTGATGCTGCACATCCAGCGCAAGCAGTTCTCGCTCCGCCAGGCCAAGTTCTACGCGAGCGAGGTGCTGCTGGCGCTGGAGTACTTCCACGCGCAGGGGATCATCTACCGCGATTTGAAGCTGGACAATATTTTGCTGACGGTGGAGGGGCATGTGAAGGTTGCGGATTATGGGCTGTGTAAGGAGGAGATGTGGTTTGGGAATACGACGAGTACGTTCTGTGGGACGCCGGAGTTTATGGCGCCTGAGGTGCGTCTCCCTTCCCTTTACCTCGCCCTTATCATTACACACGAGCTGATGGGAGTCGCAGATCTTGCTTGAGCAGCGCTACGGCCGCGCGGTCGACTGGTGGGCGTTCGGCGTGCTGATGTACGAGATGCTGCTGGGCCAGAGCCCGTTCAGGGGCGACGACGAGGACGAGATATTCGATGCTATTCTCGAGGACGAGCCGCTTTATCCGATTACGATGCCGAGGGACGCTGTGAGCATTCTGCAGAAGCTGCTCACGCGCGACCCGACGAGGCGTCTGGGCGCGGGCAAGAACGACGCGGAGGATATCAAGCGGCATCCGTTCTTCAAGGATGTGAACTTTGATGATGTGTTGAATAAGAGGATTCCGCCGCCTTACTTCCCGACTATCGTGCGTCCCCTTTTGTTTCCATCCTGTGGCGGTAAGAGTGGATTGCTAACGATGTTGTGTAGAACGGGAGCGCGGACACGAGCAACTTCGACGAGGAGTTCACCAAGGAGCAGCCGACGCTTACGCCCGTCCATCATCAGCTTTCCGCGCGCGACCAGAGCGAGTTCAATGGGTTCTCGTGGGTTGCAAGTTGGGCGGATGTCGAGGCATAGCGCTCTTCTCTCGCCGTTTCACCCGTTCTTACCCCGTTTCGATCTTATACGCCTTCCATCTCCCACCCCCTTTTGACCACCCAACTTTCGCGTACTTACCCCCCGCTATCGACGACCCTTCTGTACGCACCACCCTCTCACGAAACGAAAGAACAGACCCCACCCCCGATGTAGCCCTCCCACGTTCTCCCATGTTCCCCCCGACCTAATGCCTGTGTGCTTGTTGCTTGTAATGACTTGACTCGATCTTACGTACGACTCTCTACTCTCCCGTACTGTGGCTGCGCACTTGTTTGTATCTGGATACCACCTTTTGAGCTGCCTCGGATAGAGAGTGAGAGTGAATCGAAGCGCGGGTGGCGGGGTGTTTGTAGGTGCGGGTAGGTGGTTGTATGCGTGAGAAGTGTTTGCTTGTTTTGCCGGCGCGTGTTGCTGTGGCCCGCGCCGCGCTGGCTGGCCGGCGCGGACCACCACGAGAGATGTCGAATACACCGCTACATCATGTGTCCTGCTATGCTAACATGCGACTCGCATGATCTTCTCCTCGACATACCCTGGCATACCTTGTGCTTATTATGGGTACCGTTGTGATGAGCTCCGCCTTTTGTTCTCGTCGCGTCTAGCGACAATTACGGCGGTGTTGTGCACGCGCTTATAAGCTCACGACTCTTGTCGTCCCGATAGGATATATCCTTTATCGGACATGCGCTGGTTCAACCTGGAAAACGAGGGAGACTTGAATAAGGAGGGGCAGGTGTGTTCGAAGCGGCTGACGGAGGGGCTGGCGGGGGCCGGGCGGTACGTGAGTGGCACCCTGGAGGTGCCACCCACGGCTTTTATGGTATTTTTATACGATGAGAGTGGTAGCGCTCGGTACGTGATATCTTATCCGGACAAAGGGGACCCACTGAATCTTCGTACAGGCCGTTCAACCTTCTCGACACATCCCAAGCCAACATCTCTGCCTTCGTACAAGCATGCGAGGCCATACCGAGCTTTCATGCTCATGACGATGACTGGAGACAGTACCGTTCCTTGGAAGGCTCCTCCTTCGCCACTTCATTTGTCCCGGAACGGACAGAGATGTTAGATATCGTGCGGCAGTGGATGTTGCATGGGTTGGACGCTAAACGGGAGCTGAAGATGGTGCTTAAGGAGCTGAGGGTATATGGTACGTCTTCCTCGATATCCTACGATATCATGTTGCTGATAGATTGCTCGGACTAGGAACTGACGACTTCATGGAGCGCCGTTGGGATGACTCTGCCGGACAAACACTTGGGTCGCTCGTCGTGACCCTTCCTGCCGCTCACGAGGGCGGAGAGATCATCCTGCATGCTTCGGAGGATGAGCAAGACGTAGCCCCCTCGTCTACCCTTTCATCATCAGGATCTCCCAGGATGGCGTTCGCGGCTTACAAACATTCCGTCAGGTCGGAGGTAACACCTATCATCGACGGTCATCGCATCATACTCCACTACGAACTTCGCTACGCCGATGCGCCAAAAGCCTCCCCGCCGAACTCTGTCTTGTCCCACCAGATTGACTGGGCATCGAGACTTCGAGGTCTTCTGGACAACAAAACTTTCCTCATGGACGGCGGCCTCCTCTGCTTCGGTCTTCAGCACTCTTACGACGTTTCGGGCGATGACGAGTACGGCTCGCTCAAGTTCGAACCGAAGGCTCTAGAGGGGCAGTTGAAGGGCATCGATCTCCAAGTCTTTCGCCTGCTGCACAACCTCGGCCTTAAACCTGAACTGCAGCTCTCGTACGACGGCGTCTTCAAAGAGGGAGTAGATCCGGAGTACTCCCTCCCATGCCCGACGCGAGGCCTTGCGAGTCAGCCGGTCGACTTGCTCAAAGTCTCCGGGTCATCAAAGAGGACGCTGAGTCAAGTTTTGAAAACCGAGGGCACGCTTGCGAAGGAAGGGCTCGAGGCCGACCAGGCCGTCTGGGTAACGCCGGTGACTGAAAATACGTACACCAGGCAGATCTGCGCCACCCCGGAAGACAAGGCTACATGGGTCAGCTATGTGCGTGCCAATATGTGCATAGTTGCTCGAGTCAACTCCGAGTGGGATCGCATACGTCGTCTGAAGAAGCGAAAGAGGCCGGCGAACGAGGGGTCGGATGCGGAGGCTGCTTCCGCGAAGAGAAAGATGGTGCGCTTCAGAGAGGAGACGGAGGAGATCGACATCAAGCTGTATGAACCATGCGAGGCGTGTTAACAGTGCTGTTGCTCCTTACTTCCCTTACGCTTTCCCGAAATGTATAGGCTCTGTGCTCCCAGGAGTCGAGCGTGGGAAGAGTCACGTGCCGCGACCACAATGCAATTGTGCGGGTGAAGACAATGTGGATTCTGAACCACCTCATCCGCCATACTTAAGCCGACGTTGCTATCTATCTGGACAATCCCCGCCCGAACGTACGCACTCACTCGCTCACTCGCTCAAGTTGCCTCTCCGTCTGACCCTCTGGTCCAGCCTATCCCTTCGTCAACCAAGCCAGAACCCCTATTCACTGCCACCAACGTGAGCTACATACACTACATAGTAGTTTCATTACCTTCTCATACACGCTATAGATCAGCACAATGTCTATGTCCCCAGAGCCTTCCCACAATATGAGCTCTGCAGCGATTGAGCTCCTGAGCTCGTTGTCGACCACACCGACGAACAAGACCTCCTATGTGACCGGCACGTTGGCATTGCCCAAGTCTGCATTCATGATACATTATGGAGGGCATCTCACTTCATGGTATGTTACCATGATGCTCAAGGACGCACTATTACCTGAAACATTGATATAGCTCGATCAATCTTCTCAAAGCAAACACATTCGATATCGAGGATCTGGTCAAAGTATCTGAGCCTGGCACCGTGATGCGCGAAGGGAAGTCTGTTGTGGACGAAGCCTACCGAAAGTCCCAGAGGCTCTCTGCGTCGTCGTTCACTCCGGCCATTGTCCCAGAGCGAACTGCGCTTCTGGATATAATACGCGACTTCCTCTTGGAGGGTAAAGACTCAACCCGGGCGATCAATGTAGAGTTGTGTGAACTCGAGATCTATGGTGCGTCTCATCTTCTTCAAGAGTATCGCAACTTCATCGTCTGAACGGTGTAAACTTGAACAGGGGAGGGAAGTTTCTCCAAGCCTCATTGCCGCACACAAGACGGCGACGGCGTCTTCGGTACCCTCATTCTCACCTTTCCAATACCCCATAAGGGTGGTGCTCTTGCTCTGCAGCCGCACAACAGTCAAGAACATGTCTTCGACACAGGATCTAAGCTCTCTTCTCGCCCTGCATACGTGGGCTACGCTGCATTCTGGGGAGATGTAGAGCACGAAGTACTACCTGTCACATCAGGACATCGGATCACGCTCCAGTACAATCTCTCATGGGCCGCCAAGCGAGCGACTCCTGCACCATTATCTTCCACGGAGCAAACAGTGGTGTGGAGCAACATGCTACAACGCCTGATAGCTGACGATACGGTCTTACCCGACGGCGGGCTCTTCTGCTTTGGTCTGCGCAACTCGTACTCTGTGCCCGCTGAAGACGAACCCGACATGGACGAATACAAGCCGTCCGACATTCGGGAGGACTTGCGAGGCGCGGATCTTCTGCTCATCTCCGAGCTGGAGAGGCTAGGCTTGGACGCGGAGGTCCTGATGTCGTATGAGGGCATCGACGGCGACGGAATCATGGAGGCCGGTAACGAGGCCGAAGAAGCAACTTTCGGGCTTACCGACCATCTTATAAGCTTCTATCTCGGGATGGAGCAGACTTACCAGGAGCTAGTTCAAGAGGAGAGTTATATCTCAAGCAACGATATCGACGTCGAGCAAGTCATCTGGATTACGCCTATCACAACCGCCACACGTCTCAAGCAATCGTGGGCCGCGACTACCCATAAGGCAGCTTGGGCAGAGCATGTATACGCGAACTTCTGCATCTGTGCTCGTGTGCAACCCTACAGTGAACGTCAAAAGAAGACTCTTAAGCGGAAACGCTTAGCGGGAGAGGCGGCCCCCACTGAAGAGGATAGCGCGTGAGGGGGGGCGACCTCCGAACTCGACCTGAAGTGTTCAATACTCTACAGTCATTCCTATTAGTATATGCTGGCGAAGCGCTTAGAGTCTTTACATGTATGTGTACAAGGTGCAGCAATTTGCCTGTTCGGCCTCTGTGAAAGCGGATACTTGCTCCTGATAGAATGTAGAAAGCTTGATGCACGATGTGCCAAGTTCGCGCGTCGGACTGGTGATCGCTGCGGGTCCGGGGCCGAGTCGGCCGAGCAACGAACGCGCCCTCGTGATCGCGTTCAGCCGACGCGTTCTTGTCTCTTACCGTCATCGACGACGAGCATGGGTCGGCACTTAGTTCGCACTCATGATCCTGGGACTGCTTCATATGATGAACCTGGATGCACTTGACCCTATCTGCCAGCCGAGGCTCTGAGATAGCGAGACATTTTCTTGTAGCCCACCACATGTGACAATGCAGGTGACGCTGTGGGAGAGCTCCCCATGCTAGTGGGCAGAGGCTATAAGATTCTGCGCCCACAGAGATATCGCCTGCATTCTTCACTATCTGTATCATCAACGCCATGACGAAGATGCGCGCTGTCGTATACAAGGGACCTTTTGAGGTCGAGGTCAGCGAGGTCGACAAGCCCAGCATTCAGCATCCGTCCGACGTCATTGTGAGGAGTACGTACCCTCGCTATGTACACAGGGTTCCCACTCTAATCTATGAGCTTCAGTTACCACTTCATGCATCTGTGGAAGGTGAGCCGCCGTCTCGACGTTGCGGACTCCCGTTGACCCTCTGCGTCAGCGACCTGCATATGTACGAGGGCCGCACGGGCGCAGAAGCTGGTATCGTCTTCCGCCATGAGAAGTGAGTGGTATCGTCATCTCCTTTGGATACTGGCTGACAAACTGTAGTATGGGCATCGTCGAAGAAGTTGGGGATGGCGTTAGCGTACGTCGTTCAACATGCGCATTGCCGCCTTTTTCTCACAGCAGTCTGGTATGTCAGTCGCTCAAGAAGGGCGATCGCGTCGTCATGCCTTTCAATGTCGCCTGCGGTCACTGTGCGAACTGTGAAGAGGGCAAATCAGCTTTCTGCACACAAGTGAACCCCGGATTCGTACGTCATACTTGTCTTGTGTTCGGACTGCTCGCGCTAACATGTTATTTAGGCGGGAGGGTGAGCGGTCAAGTGGCTCTGGAGTAAACCACGACAACTGAACGCATCTCTCTAGCGCATACGGCTACGTGTCAATGGGTCCATACCAAGGCGGTCAAGCGGTGCGTAGAGTGTCTAGTGCTATCATGATCTTACACTAACGAACGCCTTATAGGAGTACGTCAGGGTACCTTTCGCGGATTTCAACGCGCTCAAGCTACCCCCCGGAAAGGATCACGAAGATGACTTCGCTCTCTTAGCAGACATATTCCCCACCGTACGTCGTATCGCTTCGTCGGAGGTCGCCACTCAGCTCCATCCAGGGTTGGCATGGCGTTCAACTTTCTGGCTTCAAGCCCGGCGAGTCGGTGGCCGTCTTCGGTGCTGGTCCCGTTGGTCTGATGGCTGCTTACTCGGCGAAACTACGTGGCGCATCAGCTGTATATGTTGTCGACCGCGTCGCGGAGCGCCTCCAGAAGGCGAAGGACATCGGTTGTATTCCGGTCGATTTCTCTCAGGGCGACCCTGCTGAGCAGATTAAGAAGATGCGCGACGGGTTCGTCTGCCTCCTATGTAGTGGGCTCTCCAACTGACACGATATCTTGTGCTCAGGAAAGAAGTCGATCGTGGTGTCGATGGTACGTGAGGATCAATGGTCTTTTCTCGACGGTGCTGACTGCTTCGCCACAGCCGTCGGCTATCAGGCCGTTAACGCCGACGGCAAGACAGAGCAGCCGAACGCTGTTCTCGAAGGCTTGATCGCTGTTGTGCGCCCGACCGGTGGACTGGGTATCCCTGGTCTGTATGTCCCCAAAGACCCGGGAGCGCCAGATTCGGCGTCGGCAAAGTGCGTATCATGATATCCAGGCCCCGATGACCAGACTGACGGATGGCTTTAGGGGCTATATCTCCTTCCCGTTCGGTGCGCTCATCTCTGTACGCATACACAAGCCGTGGCTAACTCTGTGATAGGCAAGTTGTTCGAGAAGGGCCTGTCTGTAGGCACTGGTCAGTGCAATGTCAAGGTGAGCCCTGCTCGGCGATCTCGGCGTGAGTCTTGTTGACGCGTACGATGCACAACCAGACCTACAACCGGTATCTGCGCGACCTCATCATCGCGGGCGTTGCGAAGCCATCCTTCGTTGTATCGCACAACCTCCCGCTCCAAGACGCCGCAAGCGCATACGACAAATTTGACAAGCGTATTGACGGGTACACGAAGGTCTTGCTTCATCCGTGAATGTTTGATCGCGCGAACTGCGGTGTTCTGGTTCGAGGCTCAGTTGGGTTCAATGGTCGTTACAGTGATACAAATGTATGATACAGTCGCTGAAGTTAAGGAATATGTACGATAGGCATGATCCACGGAGTCCAATGTATGATTAGTTTTCACCTTCTCTCACAAGGATAGCGATCGAGGATCGAGGGGTGCGGCTGAAATCCTCGAAATAGTAGTACGACACTCAGTGACTACAGCCAAGTGCCCGATCGACATTGATCATGGGGCGTCTTCTGCCGCCGGTCCCAATACACCACCTTCGCCAACGCGCTCTAAGAAACGCTTCACGACGCTCTTGCCGTGTCGTAGGTGCGATAGTGCGAGGTGCTCGTTCGGAAGATGTGCTTGATCTGCACCAGAGCCCATTGGAAGATGGAGTGCAGGGCACCCGAAGGACTTCTCAAGGAAAGGGATACACGGGATAGTCTGCAGCTGTCATTCAGCACGATCCGACAGTAAATCATAGGGGGGACGTGTACGCACTCCTCCCTCGCGTACGCGCATGGGTTGTACACCCCACTCATCGTGGATAGCGGATTCAAGCGCGAGGAACCAAGGGTGCTCGAGCTCGCCTAACCACCAGTCGGCGGCGTGATCAACTGATACCTATTGCGGCGTCAGTGCCTATGCCGAGCCCAAAGCGTACGTAGCATACCGAGAGCTTATGTGACGAGTCCAGACCAGTGAACGTATCGCGAATGTACGAGCACAACTGCGCTGAAATGGTATCCAGATCCTGGTCCGGTACGATGCGGATGGAGACTTGCGCGGACGCAGAGGAGGGTATCACGGTTGAGTCTACAGCGCGTCTTAGTCGGGTTTGGGCTGCAGTGAGTCTACAGAACTTACTTCTTGGTCCTGACCCCGAGATGTTGTGAACGGTGAGCGAAGGTTCGCACCATCGCGAGCGCAACTTCGAGGAACATGTTTGGGTGATCTCCTCGAGCATGGTGAACAGTTCGGCTTCTTTCTTGTCCTGTGCGCGGACATTGTCATCTGGGCGGCGTTCAGCATGAACCCCGATAGTTTATTCGAAGGTAAACTTACAAAAGCCAGGTATGAGTACACGTCGATCACGGTCTTGGAGTGCAGCGAGTAGTTGGATCCTAGGTGATGGTGAGTTCACAGTGTACTTCCTCATGGCAGATCGGGAGCATACATATCCATCATCGGCTCCTGTACGCCGCCTCCATACACGCCAGAGTGCAGATCAGGTCGATTGTTGGCGGTGATCTGTCGCAAACGTGCTATCAGTAGTCTGACGCCTCGAGGCTCGGTGTAGGATCTTACCTGGAGGTTGCAGTGCACGACGCCTCGCAGTCCATAAGTGATGGAAGGTACGTTTGGCGCGATCCATGACGAGTTGCTAACAAGGATCGCATCAACGTGACCGATATGCTCCTTGTACTTTTCAACCGTAGCGCGGAAGCCGACGGAACCGGTCTCCTCTTCTCCCTCGACAAGGAAGAGCACGTCAACGTTGAGCCGTCTGCTCTGCAACAGCTCCGCCGCGGCGCAAGCCATAGCAAGGACAGGACCCTTGTCATCGCTCACCCCACGGCCGTACATGCTGCCATTGCGTGCTGTCAAAGTAAAGGGCGGCGAGTCCCAGCCCTCTGGAGGTGCAGAGATGACGTCGTAATGGCCGTATACGAGGATGCGCGGGTTGCGCGTGGCAGTTGACGAGCATGCACCCTGAAAAGTAGCAAGCACGATCGGGTTTGTGTCGTCGCCAGTCGAGAGCTATCCCCATAGACGTGAGAATGAAGCATGATCCAAAGACGAGGTCATAACGTACCAGTTTAGACGGAGCACCGAGCTGCTGCATGCATTTTTGAAGCCAGACTGCGGCTTGTCGACAGTCTTCGCGGTGTTCTGGAGCACTGCTCACGCTAGGAAGGGCCACAAACTTGTTCAGCGCGTAAAAGAACACGTCTAGGTAGGCTCAGTACCCTGTTTCTCTGGCTTGAAATGAACGAACGCACCGTCTTTGCACTCTCCCCGAATGATGTCGTCTGAACAGGATAATGCGCTAGTGAGGCCGCCGGGACGCACACCCCAGAACTAATGAAAGGTTATATCGTGCCTCGGCATATGGCGGGTGGGCAACTTACGTTTATAGCACCATCATTGCCACCCGTGACGAGGAAGTATTCGTCCGTCTGACGCTGCCGCGCGACAATGCTGGACAGGACGATACCGTCGTGCCCTCGCCAAGCGGCGGAGCAGTCAAATGTATCCGCAAAGCACTGTACGTTCTACATCAGCCCTGGAGAGAGAAGGGGAAAGTGATCAAACGCACTGCAACTTGCCCGTCAGCTGAGCAGGCGTACACGTCTGTACCCAGCACGCTCAGGCTAAGGACGTCGACCCCTTCCTGGACGATGATGGTCCGCATCAAAGTGCGTGTTTGCAGATCCCATACTTTGACGTAGCCGTCCTGGCACCCAGCGTATACGGTATCGCCTCGTGCGGCCAGGGAGAGCACCGCACCGTGCGAACACTCGCACTCGGCTACCAATTCGGGACCGGAGGGCGTTAAGCGCCATGCCTGCGAACAGATAGCCCGTTTCAGAAAGAGTGCCCAAAATCGCGACACAGACAAAGAGAACTGCACCTTAATCGCCTCATCGCCTGAACCTGTAACAAGATATGTTTCACCGTCTTCGCGTGGGCTGGCATCGTCGCTGCCTTCGCGCGAGCTGGGAAGAAGGGCCATGCAGTAGATGTAGCCATAGTGTGCCGAGTCGATCACGTTCTCCGCCGGGATATCGATGGTCTGCACAGGAGCGGGCTCGCTTTCGTTGCTGGCCGAGCCCGAGCTATCTCGGCTCAACTGCGAGGTGGCGGTCCGGCGCAGCGAGCGCGGGAACGAGTCGAAGAACTTGTGCGCTGGGCGAATGCTCGGTGTTGACGCGCCGGATGGAAGAGGTGTGCCGGGCGCGTCGGCGGATGTTAGTGGCGGGAAGTTGTACCACTGTAGAGAGGTGTTTTGGCAGCCGACGTAAATCGTCTGTAGAGCCGGAGACCATGCGAGTGAGAAGAGGTCACCGGCGTCGGTGTCGAGATATGGGTTGAGGACAAGTAGCGGCTTGTGCTTTCGTGTGCACCATACCTATTGCGTCTGGTCAGGAAAGAACTCGAGAACTTCAGAATCATAGACATACGCGAATGGTACTGTCACCTGTGCACACGAGTTATAGGCGCACGAGCGCAAACAAGCGGCAAGACTTGCGCACCAGACGAGCTGAAGAGCCAGTTCCGGTCGCTGGCGGGTTCAAGTGCGAGTACGCTGCCAGTGTGTCCCCGAAGCGTAGTCTTGAGCTCAAAGCTAAAGCTATCCCATACCTATTACCTCGTTTAGCGTGAAATGTCATGAGTCACAAGTTCAGTCTAGCGTACAGAGATGTCCGCGCTCTGAGAGCCCGAGTAAATGTATCTGCCGTCAGTGGCGAGGCTGAGTACCGACGCGCGCTGCTGTTGGAGGGCGTGTACGCGGCGGGGTGGCGCAGCGACCGCGATCTTGCGGCTGAGCGAAGCTTTATTGGAGAGGGGCACCGGAACAGGCATGGGTTTCGACGAAACAAGAAATCAACGGGCTAGCTTACCATCCATCACTGCTACTTATACCGACGCTTATAACTCGTGGCAGCTTCTCAGCAAGTGCGCGGCGTAGTCACGGCTAGAGTGTGGTCGACCGCGATGGCGCCTTGCGCAAGCCTCGCGCCACCGCGCGTGTCGTGCATCAACTTTGCCTTTCGCGTCCATCATCCGAGGTTATGGCCGCCGCGGTCGAGAAGGAAAAGGCGCGTCGGTACGCCGCTCTGCTTGCCCGGAGTCCTGATAATCAAACTCGTATCTTCTAGGGAAACGCCGCGTTCAAAGCGGGTGATTACGCCGGTGCTGTCGGCCACTACTCGGCTGCGATTGTCGCCGACGCGCGCGACCCGACCTTACCATTGAACCGCGCAGCGGCTTATCTGAAGCTTAACAAGTAAGTACCCTAGATAGTAAGACGATTCGAAGCTGACCTCAACACAGGAATGAAGACGCAGAACGCGATTGTACTCGCGTACTTTCTTTGAGTGGCGCAACACCAAACGTCAAAGCACTCTTCAGGCGCGCTCAAGCGCGCGTCGCCCTTCAACGACTTACAGAAGCTCAGAAAGGTCTGTAACCATCCAAAGAGATGCACGATAGTGGATACCTATCCGTAGGAATCTCAGATGGCATAGATTATCCTAGGTCTCAGAGTTCTTCCTGCCAGCCGGCTCAGGCGGTCGTGGGAGGGTGATGCCGAGCTCTGGTTGGGTGAGGATGCCTGCGATCACTGTTCCCGTCAGTGAATCTGGGTCTGGGATAATCTACATCGTCTGCAGATCCTACGGATAGGTATCCAGTATATCTGACCTTGATACCGTAACAGATCTACGAGACGCCCAAAAGATCGACCCCAAGAATGATGCTGTCAAAACAGAGCTCACGCGCGTCGCCAGCCTTCTCGAGAAAGGCAAGGCCCGTGCCCAACCGGTATGTCCCTTTGTTCTCTGTACGCAATGCGTTTTACTGAATCAACGCTCTAGAGGACGCCGATTGACGTTCCCGCTCCGCCTCTGGCCGCTAGTGGACCTCCCAAACGACGTAGAGTGCCGATCAAGATAGTCGAACCTGCCCCTCCTTCTACATCTACAACGGGCACCGATCCTATACACGACTCTGGAAGGCCTGTTACTGCATCTGAAGGTTTTGCTACCCCTACCGCATCCGATCTTCTAAGTGCGGTGTCGAGTCGTCCGTTGACCGGCTCTGCACCAGCACCGGAGCCCACTTCCACCTCAGTTGACCCTCCGCCAAAGCTTGTTGCCGCATCTGCGCCCGCATCCAAAGCCAGTGCCAATGGCGACGCCAAGCGACCTCCAGTTCGTGCCGGCGGCGGTATCTTCCGCAAGAGTGGCGAGCATACCATCGTTCCAGAAAAGGAGGTCAAGTCGCCTGCGTTGAATACTGCGGCACCGACGCCTGCGCCTTCCACTCCAAGTGTGGATAAGCCTACCTCGTTGTCTGCTCCTGTATCAGCAGCCGGCGATGCGAAATTGCCCTGGACGCTCTTCGCATTCGCACGAAACTGGGACGCACTGAATACTCCGGAGGACCGCTGGGCGCTGCTTTGCGTGGGTATCATTGCATCATCTATACAATGCGCGAATGCTGACATGATCTTTCCCTCACAGAAAGTCCCTCCTGCCTCGATTTCGGCGCTCTATAAGACTTCGCTCGAGCCCGCACATCTCGTTTCCGTACTTCATGTCTTTCAGGCGTTACTCAGCTCCTCTGCACACGAAGGCCAGCGGGAGGATATTAAAACCTGGATCAGGCAATACATGGATGGGTATACTCGCGTGCAGCGCTTCGGGACGATCACCATGTTCATGAGCACTGAGGAGAGGATGCTGGTCAAGGATGTACTAAGCAAGGCGGGCGTACCTGAGGGAGAGGAGCTCTGGAAGAAGTGGTTGTGAGGGAGGTCAGCGTACCTACTGCGCTCATGGAGTCGCAGGCTGTACTCACCTCGTCGTCATGCAGGCAGTTGCGCATAGCTTCATACAAAGCAATCAAGCTCTTCGAAAGTGTGGCATATAACTTGTGTGGTCTGGATAGGCCGGTGACGAGAATGCCAAATTGCCTGTGCTGTCCGACGCGTTGACGTCGTTCTGGCGATACAGCCCACTCTGAAGCCGCTGTCCTGCGCTACCCTTCTTTGGATTCAGCGCTTCAGTCACTTACGTGCGTTGCTGACAGCTACTCTACGTCCGTATTTCGTGAACTCTATGCATCTGCATACTACGGGATCTGAGCCTGTTGACATGAAGGGTAGATGTACACCCATGCGCCACATCACGCTTCCGCAGATCGGGTTTGCCGAGTTACCCGACGTGTTCGCCCTGGTCTTCTTGACGGCGTATTCACCTTCCCCCTTCAACGTCAAGTCCTTCGGTCAGAACAAGCTCTTATTCAGCGTCTGTCCCTCCACTTTATTCACTTGACGTGCGAGAAGACCGAGCTGTCTGCGTAACGCGACGTATCACGAAACATACGTACTCCCTATTCACCCGGAGCCTCGTGTCATGCCCGGTAAAACTGGGTTCGCCCCGACTCTCACGCAGAAGCCCAACCGCGGACTTGATGCGCGGAAGATTGGACCCATAGCTGTCCGCTTCGAGTATATGATCTTCTTCATTTGCTTCAATTGACGACCACGCAGTCGTGCAATTTCCACCGAAGGCGACGGCGACCTGCCGCGGTCAATTGGGAATTTGGATATGATGCCCCAGACCGTATTGTACGGGCGGTCCGGTTCTGATGCAACGTTGTCGTGTGTCTATTCGCATCGCAGGGAGAGCCGAGGTACATATACATAAGGTTGGGGGCGCCCGAGGGGGTTGGTTTCGCCCTTTCTTCCCTTCTTTCACTTCCGGCCGCCTGCGTTCGCTCCGCTATGGTCAATTGGTCGGATCCGGTCACCGTTCAGCAGCAGTTGTGTGGGTTGTTCTGTATGCGCGGCGCTGTTCGCGTTGATTCTGATACTGTTTCTCAGTTGCGACGGTAAAAGTCAATCATACGGTGGCTGGCGTATACATGTACGCGTCTTGGCAGGTGTTCTTCGCATGTTGCATACTGAATGTCGGCATGTAGCTGGGAGGTAGCATCGAGCATCACTCACGATATCCGCTTGATCACCCGCCAAAGGGATGGGCGGTCGCTCTTGACCAAATGGGTGAGCGCCTATACGGAGTAGCGCATGTGTGTACTTGTGACTAAATGACATCTGTGCAGTGTTACCTCCTTTGCCGCTATCTGTGTCTGGCTGCTATATGCAGCATCTTGGTTGGTTTCAATGTGACGACTGAGGTTTGTGTGAGCGGCCATTCGGGTAATAGCGGCTGACGAGAAGTCAGATCAACTGCGAAGGCTGGCTGCTCTCTGTCTTCGTGAGTTGTTCCTCTTTGGCCTCGCATTATGGTTCGACACTGACTGTCCTCTCAAGGTTCTTGGCTTCCTCGCGTTCGAGTTGGCCAGCATTCTTGTTGCTATCCGTGTGTGAGTCTGTGCGGTTGACATCGCAAGCCCAAGTTTTCTCATACGCCAGCAGTGTCGCGATCTGGCAGCACTCACGGCCCGTCATGGCTTTGATAGGCGCTGCTCTCCTAACGCAGTTCGCCTTCATCATTTACGTCTCCTCGCAGGTCAGATTCCGCCCTCCTCTCTATATAACCCGAACACGACGCTCATGAATACATGCTCAGGCGAACGCGCATTGGGATCCAGTCGGCAAAGGATGCGCTTTCGAGGATACTGAAGCCGCGCGCAAGTTTTACACCACTACGCTGGTCGTGGACACCTTCCTACTTGTGCTCATGTTCGTCGGTCTTGCGCGTGTGCGAGACGCGCGGACGCACGGTCTGTGGAGGTTCCTCTGGGTCCAGGTATGCTGTCTTAATCTAGCGAGTGTGGAGGCGATGCTCATTATGCTTGTAGGGCTTCATGTGGGTTGTGCTGGTCATGATCGTTGAGATCCCATCGGTCACGCTGTTATGGCTTAACCTCAATCGTACGTCTCGCAGATTGTATGCCTAGCGTAAGAAGCTCACAACTAGGTGCTTCGCATTGTAGAGCCCATGAATGTGGTAAGCATACCACGCTTTCGAAATTCGTTGGTCTGCAGCGCTAACAATGCATTCAGATCTTCACAACACCCGAACTCGTAGCGCTCGTGATCGCCGCAACGCGAATGTACCGCTCCCTCTCAAACTACAGCGACTCGTACCGGTACGCCCCTCGCAACCCACAATACACAGCAGGATGCCCACAATTCTCAACCATCGTCCACAGCCCGTCCGGAGTGACGACGCGCACGCGTGACGTTGAATTACGCGATCCGTTCATGTTGCCTATTGAGGTTACGGTGCATAAGGAGCGGAGGCAGGAGGAGAGCAGGTTGCAGTTCGGGCATAATACGACGATGGGGACGAGCACGCTCGATAGCAAGTTTGCTGTGGGAGGGGATGCGGATTCGGCGTGAGGCTGTACGGCTTGCGGGGCCGCTACTTTCGTGGATGATGCGTACAATGCATTTCTTGATTTTGAACCTGATCGTTGGCGGCACGGGCGCTGTGGGTTGGCCCTATCGCTTTGCGGTACAGTGTACAATCCACCTACGGGCATGCACCCACGTTGAACCTCCAGCACCGCCCTCAGACGGTCACCAGAGTCTCCACGACGGTGAAGTTTCTCCTATTCCGCAGGCTAAGTTGGCGAAGAAGGCAGTCGGAGCTTGCTCTTCCATGATCAACGCAGACCCGAACCCACGTTCGCGGTGCTCTATGCCGTGTTCACATAGCTGTATTCTCTATCTCGCAGGTGCTCGTCATAGCGAAGAGACGTGAAGATCCCCGCCGATCATGTCGAGAGCCTCATGCTCCCGAGCAGAAGCGACGTGCCTCCATACAGCACGAGCATGCGGCGGGCACATCAGGGAACCGGCCGCCTCCTAGAACTAACTTTTTCATTTTATTTCATTTTAATCGCTTCTAAACGCTCTAAAATAATAATCGATTAGAATGCCCAAAAAAGAGTTATTTAGACGCTAGAAGTACATTTTGAAAAAATATAATCGACTCTAATCGAGCTTCTGCCGAGTTTCAGTGAGTTACCTGGGCAAAAATAAGGAGACAAAAAGCGCGACTCAGAGCGAAAAAAGAAGACTTTCCTGGCTTGTTAGCGCGAGAAACCAGGGTGCAAGTACCCAACTTTGGGCGAATAAGCATGAATTCGTACCATTTTAATGCTGCTGAGAAGCACTAAGAGCACGAGTACCAGGCTATCAGCGCCATAAGAACACGTTTGGGCGGCTGCTTAGAGGCGATTAGTGAAAAATCAAGTGCATTGGGGACCCGTTAGTGGAAAAACTGCGATAGTGAGAGCCCAATAAGTACGGAGAATACCTGATCTTCTGTGGGTTATCCGCGCAGTATCACGCGGTAAGAATGCGAGAAACAAAACGCAGCGTCAACATTAGCATGGCTATCGTAAACGGCGTGGGTCGTGAGGATCGTGAGGGCGTATGGGCCGTAAGTCGTAGCAGGTCGTATCGGGAATACTACTAGTGGGGGAAGCTGTAAGGTATGCGATGAAAAGGTGATCGTGGGGGAGCACGCAAGAGACAATGTGGGGGATGTGTTGAACATGGGCGAGAGATGACGATGATGATGATAGTACAGGGAAAGGAAAACGGCGAGGAAGTTGAGCGATATGAGGGGAATGGGGTATGGGGCCGAGCGAGGCCAGGGCGACGGAGGTGTGCAGACGACTGGGAGATGATAACGAGATAGGAAAAGAAGACGAAGCTAGATACTGCTTGAGATCAATGACAACTCTCCGGAGGTAGAAATAGATTACGCACCTGTAGAAAAGACCTACGCCGTCGAGCTGGAAGCGGCTTTACGCCTCTCAGCGAAGTAGTCCATCGTGGCCGCTTTGCTCGCCTGCATGGCATCAGCAGACCCGAAGTCAGGCAGCGCCTCCACCGGCGGCTTCCAGCTCCTGGATGATCATGAATCAGATCAATGCCAATGGACAACACGAGCGAAGGAAAGGTGCTTACACTGCCTCATCGAAAAGACCGATGAAAATACCTTCTTGAGAGCCGGGTTTCGACGCGGCGATCTTCTCGTCATGCTTCTTGTATATGCGCGCGACGTTGTCTTCAGCGATGGAGATCCGCTTTTTCTTGCCGCTCTGATAGTCGCGGAGAGCGACCTCGAGCTAAAAGGACATGAGTCGGGTCGGACACACTACTATAGGTAAGTGCATACGCACCACCGTGGCCGCGAGGGCTACCATAGGTCGAGGAACGAGCCTCCTCGGGTGCTTGGGATCGGCGGGGTGTTCTTCCACCGGGAACTGGGAGTGTTTGAATTTGATCGTACCTACGTCGCCGCCGAGAACCAGAAAGGTCCGGGCGACGTATTCGGACAGGAAGCGGCTGGCGTACGGATAGGCGCTATCGCGCGGGTCGATGAACCATTCGACCCCGGTGTCTTCATCCCGTTGCCCCTTGCGCTGCGGAAGTACGCGTCAATGGAAGAAGCCGTGAATGAGTGCATGATCACGTACACGAAGTTCGCCTTCGTGGACGAAGCGCTTCTTCTCCAGCATGGCCAGGACAGCGTTCTCGAGACGTCGCTCGTCGTTCGGGGTCTTGATGTCCAGGAACTCCTTGAGACCAAAGGCATCGTACGTGTCGACCATCAAGCGCCCGATTGTGATAAGCCCATTCCGATGTTGCGAACGACGGGACCAGACCTACATGTTCATTGTTAGTAAAGCGTGGTGAGGGGTATTACACGGGTGATAACGTACGTATACGGAGAGGATCCTGAGGTAATTCGGTTCTTTCTGAACGCGCACGAGGATGGGCTCAAACTTGGGGTCGGATTGCAGGAC